ACTGTGTTCTTAGATTCAAAGCATGTAATCAATGATTTCTGTAAAAGGATGTGGATTTTAGTCTTACTTAATTTAATAATTGTATTTTTAAAAATTAGAAATAACCCAAATCACCAGCAATAGGGAAATGATTAAACAAAGTCGAGTATTCCCATATGATGGAATCTAAGGTACCTATTAAAAATAAAGATTGTTTTCACAGAATATTTCAGGGCAGGGAATATTTATCATGATGCCACGTTAAATGGAAAAAGCCAGATACAAAACTATAATATACAACGTGATTACATATAGTGTGCACACACACACGTACACCATACGTACATGTAAATATTCAGGCATACTCAAGATAACTGGAAAGAGTTAAACTCAAACCTCACTAACTGTGAGGGTAAAGTTTTCTAACATTTTTTGTATTTTATTGTGAGTGAATTATTTTTAAAATAAAAAATAAAGCATTAGCAGGAACCCCACCCCCCCACAACAATCAGCCAAGTACAATGTAGAGTATTGAGGTGTACTAATGTAGACTTTTATAACATCCCTATGCATGAATCCATCAACATAAAAAGAAAGGATCCTTTTCTCTATCCTATATATAGGGCATTCCTCTGCTGCCTTATAAGAGAAAGAACCTTATTCAATCAAGTGGTTGGTTATACACATGCACTTAAATCTAACTGAATATAGTACTTTCTATTTATAAAATTCCCCAAAAGTAATAATAGGAAAAATTTTATTGCAACTGACAATATTATTTTTCCAGCAATTATCTCCCTGCATATCTGGGAGGTGGCTCATTTCCTGCCAAAGATGTTGTGAGTAATAAAGGTGACAGCTTAGCAGCAGGAAACACAGAGGGTGATGCTCATAGTAAGACAATATGATCAACACTACATGTTTTAATGCCATCTTTGTCAACTTTCATGGAAGGTTTTAAAACACTAGCTGGTGTTTGCTGGGCTAGCATTCTGACTTAGAGAAAAATGTTAGCTGGGCTGCATTCTGACTTACAGAAAAATGTTTTGAATTTCTCCTTTGAAAAACTGAAAAGTGATTTTAATGACCTCTTGCTTTCAGAGCAGTTGAGCCCTTATTTTTAGCACTTTCCAATTCCTTTCCTGAAATACCAGAAGAATCAGCTGTTCTTCTGTATGTTGAAGGCATACAGAATCATTCTGTATCATTCACCTCGCCAAGGGAGGCTGAAATGCCGCATTTTAGGCAATATCGTGGGGTTCCCTGCCACAATATGCAGCAAAAGGAAAACATCTCATTTTTATTCCTTCTTGGAAACAAGTTTGTTCAACAGATCTTGTTAAGGTTTTCCGTCTTCTATTAGTCAATATTTTTATTTAAATTTATTAAGAATAGAAGTACCATGTTAGGAGTATTAATACCCACTAATCGTGAAATCACAGAGTTTAAAGCAACTTTAAAAGGCCATCTATGGGAATTTTTTCCTTATTCTGTCCAGCTTGCTAAAGCATCATTCAGAGACCTGGCAGTGTGTCAGAATTACCTGTGGAACTTGTTAAAAATAGAGGAGCTGGGTTTGGCATGGGGCTGGTTCATCTCTATTTTTAATAAGCTTCTCATCTGATTCTGTTTACAACCAACTTGGAGGTCCACTACACCAAGTTTCCATAGGATCTGATATATTAAAAGAACACTATAGAACTAAAACTGGGATAAGGTAATTTTCTTTTTTTAATTTTTTGTTTATTGCAGTAACATTGGTTTATGACATTGTAAAAATTTCAGGTGTACATCATTGTACTTCTATTTCTGCATAGATTACATCATGTTCACCACCAAAATACTAATTACAACCCATC